CCCAGCCATTGGCGTAAATCAGACCAGCGCCCATTGACCGTCAACCAATCAGCGCCCCGCCGCCACCGGTAGCCCTCCTCTCCTTCGGCTCATATCAAGGTAGCTCCCTCTCTCAATTTCTCGTTATTATAAATGTTATTTTAGTTGGGGTTAGTGATTTAGGATGGTTAGGGTTAGTCATTTATATAGATGTCAACGGGGCCCCGTTCTCTGAATCCCTACGGGGAATTCACCCATTAGGGAACGGGGATGGTATGAATTCTACCCCCACGGGGGATTCAACGGGGCTGAAGTTATCCCCGTCAGAGATCACGGGGGCGGGGATGGTATGCAGGCCCCCATCCCCGCTCCCCAGGGGACCCGATTCCAAAGGCCCATATACTGACAAGGCCCAATACCTGTGATATATAAGCAATGTTGCAACCCTAGCTCCTGTCGAAACGATCAACGAAAACACGAAACGAAAGTTACATTTCATAGTCCCGTTATATCACTTAGGGTTTTAAACTAATTTTTATTAAGCGAAAATGCTATAGAACATATATGTGCTACTTAAATAAAGTTTGAAGTGCAAACTTTGTAGATGACGATGAAATGCCTGTGGCCCATAGGGATCCCCATAGGGACTAATTCCTCGCGGGGATGGGGATGGGGAGAAAGTCTCCCCTGTGGCACTTGACGAGGATGGGGATGGGGAATTTTCTTCCCCACGGGGACGGGGATGGGGAGGCACTCCCCGACGGGGAATTCCCCGTTGACATCTGGAGTCATTTAGTATGGTTAGGTTAGTGAATTTATTTATTTAGGTAGGTAGTTTTCAGGGTTTAGGTTGTGTGTTGTAGTATAGTTAAGGTTTGGTTAGGTAGTTAGGGTTTAGGTTACTGCTAGTTAGGCCTTTTGATTTAGGGATTGATTAGGTATTTATTATTTAGTTAGTTTATAGTAGTAAAGGTTGTCAGTATAGATACTAGTTTTCAAGTGTCGGTACTTAGTAGTGCATGATACAACGATTTGGAATGGCCCCTATTGCATGTGCTTTGAATATATACATGTTACTTTGAATATATACATGTGCTTTCATATTGTGTTCCAATTGCATAACAAGTAGTTCAAATTTGCAATGCTACATAATGTTAATTTGAATATTGTTAATTTGAATACTCTAACCCTTTGTTTATCAATTTATAACAGGATGGCCCCTCCCACGCAGCACCCGTTGTACCCTTTCTTGAGGTGGAATACGACGAGCTGCACCGAGCACACTTCTTGACTGACACCGACGCAGAGGTGGCCTTGCCTCCTTTGAGGCCCCGCATGCACACCAGGGCGCACCAGTGAGACGAGCATTACGTGCCGTACATACGGTGTGGCGGCTTCCTCAAACTTGTCCATGTTGTCAACTACGGTCTTCCGCCCCTTGACCCAGCACTACTTACTACAGCTGTAGATAGGTGCGAGTGCCTTCATTGTACGTAAACATTCTTATAACAAATTTGACACAACTAATAGTCGTTCTATTCTTATAACAGGTGGAGGCCTGAGACCCACACGTTCCACCTACCTTGCGGCGAGATGACCTTGACCATGCAGGATGTGAAGGCTATCTTTGGCCTTCGGTTGGGGGGACTTCTAGTGACAGGTATAGTTGACAACGATCACTGGAGGGAGCTGGTGGCTCAGTTCACTGGCTTTGTTCCACCGGACGACGAGGTTTCCAAGAAAAATAAGTGAGCAATTCAACCGTATTTAATACTTGCATTGCTTTCCTGCAGCCATCGGGTCTCATTTTCTTTGGTGAATTTTAGGAAAAGTTCTGGTGTTTCGTCGTCGTGGTTCACATAGCGCTTTAATTACTTGGACCCACAGGTTGATGAGGCTCAGATCGACAGATTCGCTAGAGTGTGGCTCTGACACTTCCTTGGTGCTTTCCTCTTCCCAGACGCCTCGGGCAACACCATCAGCTGAATCTTCCTTGACATACTACGCCAGCCGTGGGATAATATAGCGGCGTACAGCTGGGGCAGCGTAGTCCTAGTATAGACGTATCGACAGCTATGCGTTGCCTGTCGTCGCACCTCAGGGTATGCGAACCTTGGGGGTTGCTCCCACCTACTCCAGGTTTGGTGTAGGAAATGATGGCCCGTTGGGAGGCCCCTTGCTACTGGTTTACCGGTAAGTACTTTGGTTCACTATATTCTTCGAGTTAGTTACATATGATAAAAATATTAATGGCTAATTCATTGTCGTGTTCAATGCAGCAATGGAACGGGCAGGATACACTCCCTACAGCTCTGTATATCTGGACGCAAGCATAGTTAGTTAGAGGGAATGCGAGGCGCAAGTACAGAGAGTACACGGACGGTCTCGACGTCCTGACACAGCACCAGGTTACGCTCTTTTTACTATCATACATGTGTCTTATTCGATGTACACTATATCACGACCTAACTCAATTACGAAATATTCAGGTGCATTGGTGTCCTTGGGATGCTCCGGAGCTCAAGTACTATCTGAGTCCTATCACTAAGGATGAGTCAGACGAGTATCGCTACAACATCCCTCTTATTTTCTTCCACGTGGTCGAGATTCACTTGCCCATCAGGGTTTGCAGGCAGTTTAGAAGAATGACAGGCTACCCACCACCGCTTTACTCCACAAACCAAGAATTGCACGGGTGCGTTATCGATTAATAACAAAGCTATAATTCAGAGGTGTGTATGGTACAACTAACAATCGTTTTGTTGCAGGTATGACCGTAGGAAGAGGTACAAGACCATGGATTGGCGCGTGACACACAACGCGTACATCTAGTTGTGGCAGAACAGGGATCGGCAGCTGGTCGATGCGGGTCCCCACACGACCAGCACACCTTTGATGAGTACCTACGGTGGCTTCACAGGTCTACGAGGACAAATATCAAGCCCACGTACACTGAGGAGGCGATTGACGAGGACGAGGAGGAAGATGTGATCGAAGATGTGTACGACGTTGCCACTAGGGACGACACACAAACTATAGAGAGCCCTGCTTCAAAGATACGTGGTAAGATACTCAAATGGTACAATTTGTTATCCATTTGGTATTAAGTATGTGTACTAAAACTGTCCAACCGTGTTTCTGTACCCAGGAGACACAATTATCAAAGATGTCCAACGAAGCAGCGTTTCGGCTTTAAGAGTCTAGAGGGTAGGGGCCAGGCGTTCTCGAGGCTTTTGTGGAGGTAAACATAAACTTGTCCGTTTCGAAAATGTTTCTTTAGTGTATATGCATTTGAAAAATGCACTAACTTTAACGTCTATTTATGCAGAAGGTGAAGCGGAGCTACAGGAAGCTAGCTCAGAAGTTGAGCTACATGGACACTCCTTGGGTGGAACCGGCAGTCCCGGCGCGGTCGGGTGGCACGTCTTCTGGCTCTTTGAGGACACCAGCCGGCTCTTCTCAACCGGTGACAGGTGCCACTTCCGCAATGCGTACATCACCACATCATAGCGCTAGGACAGACCCTGCAAACGAGGACGACGAGGACAACGATGATGACGATGACAACGACGACCCCCGGGCTTCGGCATATAGCATCACCAGTGGGACGATTGGCAGCAGGACGAGATCGGCATGTCTCAGCTAGGTGGTGCCCCACTTGGTACCCAAGGAGCCTCACATGTAGTAACAAAGGTAGTTTCTTTAAATACATAGGCTTCATGAACTAACGATCATAAAGATTATAAGTAATCGTGCATATCATATACTTGCAGGGTACGGGCCATATGCACCGGCAACGCGACCACACCGATGTTGGCTACACTCCTAATGTGTTGCCTACAAATCCGAAGAGACAGAGGCGTCCGAGAGATCCTTACACTCCTGGGACTTAGTTTGTTATATCGAACTTATGTCAAACAAATATTATTGTCCGAAACTTGCAGACTCATGAACCAATGAAAATGTTACGTGGCAACTTGTCAACTTTCGCATGGACTCCATTTATTTGCTTCATATTCGTTTTATTGCATCGCGGCAGCACTTATGGTTGTTTACAGCACCGACAGCAGCATCTACACGCACGTCGTCTCAGACTGCAAAAAGTTGGTTCCGATTAGACGGTATGACTAGTCTTGCGTAACAGAGTAAAGCGGCATGACCTATAGTTTAGGGCTACGAAACTAGAGTCAGCAACGCAGTGCTATATCAAGTCACAATAAATCGATACGATGTGATACAGTATATGCAGCGGTATTGAAACAAGAGATAAAATCTAATAGGACAAGTACAACGACATAGAAGCGAGATACAAAGTTTGAAAAAGGTACATTGGACGGAGAACAGACGAAGGGACGCGCGTGGGCCGGGGCGTGGCAGTGCCGCGCCATGCATGGAGGCGCGGCAGCTCCTGTCACGTCAGCGGCCATAGCGCGTGGAAGTGCCACGTCATCCTCCCGCCGCACCACCATGCATGGCGCGGCACAGGCGTTTCGCCGCGCTATGGCAATAGACACGGCTAAAAGTGTTAGTTTTAGAAAAAAAACAATGTTAGATTTAAAATTTGTTTAAAAAATGTTAAAAAAATATTTCTCAGGATAGGAGAGTCGGAGCGCGCGTGATTTGGCTGGGCACACGAAGCGCAACCTTTGCATGCATGGATGCATGCATTCCACCGTGCGGGCGGCATAGACCGATTTTTTTTTTTTTTGAGCAAGGCGGCATAGACCGATTGTGAAGATTAATTAATGATAATTAGGTACGTGCATTGCATGCATGCTACTACGTCCAATATTTTAGCGTTTATATGTTGGACTTTGATCACATCATCACATGCATGCATGAACTTGTTAATAATAAGAAACTTTTACCTGAGTGTCATTACGAAATATTACAATTGTCTATAAGTCATTAAAAGGTTCAAGCGGTCACAGGTGTCATTGCGCTAAACTTTTTTATCTTGCACACCATTCCGTCTACTTTTATCTCTAACGGTGTCAAACTAAGGTGAAATTTTAAAAAGTCTAGAATGCCCTTAGGTTTGAGCGCCACACAAAAGTTTGCCGTTTCCTCTTGTGCCACCGTGACTTCCGCAGCACCTGGAACTTGGCCTGTGTGAGCTCATGCTGTCTGTTCTCGAGTGTTTGACGAAACTTTGTATAAAAGTTTTTCTCACATGTGCATGTATATTCACGTGAGCTAATTAAATGGAGAAGAAAATAAGAAGCAAGCAAACTAGCTAGCAGCCAGCTAGCTGCATGAAAACGAACGTGCATACATGCTAGCAAATGCGTATCTGAACTCACGCTACACATATCTGGACAGCTTTTATATTTATTATGGCGTCGATGTATTTCTCTCTAAAATAAGTAAGTCGTACGTCGTATACGCGGAGTGATATACGGCGCGAGAATTGAATCCGCTGCCAACATATGAGCTAGAACACGTACTTGATCTGCCCCAGGTCCTCGTCACTACTAGAGAACAGACTTTAGAACGATGTCCCAATTTAGCATTAGCCTCGGTATTTTTTTGCCCCCGGGACTAAAGGATCTTTAGTCCCGGTTGGTAATACCAACCGGGACTAAATGTTCCTTTACTTCCGGTTGGAGCCACCAACCGGGACTAAAAAGTCCTCCAACCTTTAGTCCCGGTTGGTAATACCAACCCATACTAAAGGTAGACCCTTTAGTCCCCGTTGGTAACACCAACCGGGACTAAAGGACTCTTTAGTCTCGATTGGTAACACCAACCGGGACTAAAGGTCCTCCGATGGGTTAGTTCAAAAGAAAAGCATCACATCCATTGTCAGATGTGTTGTGTAGGTGGGGTGGTAAGCTTCGCGCGAGGTAGTGCATGAGGTCTTGGGTTCGAATCTCACAGGGCGCAGCGGTGGGAGGCATTATCTTTTTTTTAAGCTGGGAGGATCTTTAGTCCCGGTTGTGGCAAACCGGGACTAAAGATCCCCACCTTTAATCCCGGAATGCTGGTCCCGGTTGGAAAACCGGGACAAAAGGCCTTTCCCAACCGGGACTAAAGCCACATTGTGTAGTAGTGCGTTGATGTTGAGCGCGCGGCACTGGAACTTGGCCTGCCGCTTGTCGTCGAACATGTTCTTGTCCTGCACCATGAAGAAAGCCTGCCCGACCCTGACGATCTCCATAGAAGGTGATCACCGACTTCATGAAGGTGAAGGCCACCTCGGCGCCCATCCCGTACCAGTTGTACGTGGCGTCCGGGTCGTCCTTGACGGAGAAGTCCCTCTTGCGGAAGAAGGGGATCACCCCGAGCTCATCACCGTGGTCGCCGAGCCAGATGCCAGCGAGGAGCGACACGATGGCGCAGAGGAGGAACAGGACGACGGCGAGCATGATGGTCTCGCGGTTCATGTGCGTCTCCAGGAGGCTGCGCTTGGACGGCCCCCCGTAGCTATTGAGCATCACCTTGGTGTCCCGGCCGGTGTAGACGGCCACGCCGATGGCCCAGGCGGTGTTCTTGAGCTCGCACCCGCGGAGCACGATGTTGGAGGGGCCGAGCGAGACGGCGCGGCGGCCGTCGAGGTCGACCGTGGCGAGGAAGCCGTAGAGGTTGCGGTTGGGCCTCTCGCACTTGATGACCCCCGCGAGCGCCTCGGCCGGCGTGGGCATCGTCTCCTGCTTGGCGTACCGCGTCTTGAGGTTGGACTCGCCGTCGAGGTTGATGGTCTGCACGTAGGCGACGCCGGTGGGGTCGCTCGTCGACAGCAGCACCATGTCGCACGGCAGCGTCTCGTTGGCACCACGCGCAGCACCTCCCCCACGCCTGCACCTCCTTCCAACGCTTGGGCACGAACACGCCGCCCACCAGCACCGACGCGGTGCGGTTGTTCTCGTTCTTGTCGGACCGGTGCCGCCTCCAGTCCTCGTACGCGTCCTTCACGGCCGTCACGCCGAGCACGAACGCCAGCGGGAGCACGGACGCGGCCGGCGTGAGCACGCCCAGCTGCGGCACCATGTTCAGCGCCACCAGGACGAGGAAGTACAGGTAGGCCACCCGGTGGAACTGCTCGTAGAGGTTGCGCGGGCGTCCGTATGTAGAGCGTGTGTTGGTCGGGAGGGAAGAGCATTTTAGTCATCTTCCCTGGAGGGCCCCATGTGTCAGAGCTGTGAAACGGTGAAAAACCAACGGAAGGTGGACGGAATGGCATGAAAGAAAAAAAAAGTTTAGCGCAATGGCATTTATGACCACTCGAACTTTTTAATGGTTTGTAGACAATTACAATATTTCATAATGACACTCGGTAAAAGTCTCCTTTAATAACCCCTTGCACATATTAAAAAAAAGACCTTGCACTTTGGAAGCTGCATGCCGGCGCTTCAGATGTTAGTGACGCGTAGTACGTGCACTTCCATCGCTTGCACTATTAAATGTAAAAAAAAAAGTATAGGCTAGCATAATTTGTGCTTCAAAGCAGACCAGCTTGAGCTAGGACTTTTGTCATCTACTCCCTGTCCATAGAAGAATACAACTATGAAAAGACTAAATTTCTAGTGAATACTATTTGTATTTACATCTTCAAAATAATTTATCATAAAAATATATTTTATAATTAATCTAGTGACATTAATTTAATATCATAATTATTAATACTTTTTTTATTTATAATTGATTGAACTTAGGATATTGGACTATAACACTGTGTTAAAATTGTATTTTTTTTGGACGGAGGGAGTACTAAGGGTCCGTTTGGCAGAGCTGTGTTCCCTGGTTCTCCAGTTGTGCTCCCTGATTCTCTGGTGAAGTGATTCTGAGGCTGAGAATGAATCTCTTTTATTTTTTAGCATAAACTCTTAAAATCACTAGAGAATTATTTCACAGAATCAGGAGAAGTTATTTTTTTTAGCTCTCAGATCTTAATTTATTTTAGAGAATCACTTTACAAGTCAGCAGACAGTCACTTCACTCGAAAAAAACCATTTGACAGTCGGGGAGCAATTCTTTTCGAGAATCCGCTCCGTAAAACGCTCCCAAACGCACCCTCAAGTAGTACTCGATGCATCGCCTCGCGGCCTCGCATGGGCAGAGAAGATTGCATGCAACGTACTACTCCCTAAAAGTAAAAGTAGTACTCTCTTTTGTCTCATGGTCAGTGTCATTCTCTGCTCCCTAAAAGTTAAATATTTTTAATTTTAACTAAATAATATATATAATATTCATATTTATGATATATAATTAACATTTATTAGAAAAATTATTGAATATATTTTAATAACAGATTTATCTGAACATATAAATACTACTTATTTTTTATAGACTTAATTAAATTTTAGGAAGTTTATAACTAATACTAATAACGTAGCGATATTTTTTTTAAGATGGAGGGAGCAAGAGTAGCTGTGCTAGTACTACGTACTCCACGCAACAACTTTCATATTCGTTTGACTAATAAACCATGACTGAAAGTACTGTTGACTGATTTATTATAAGAAAAAAATATTATTGGTTCGCTGAAAAAAATACGGATTATAAGCGAGAAACAGGGCGAACGAGTCCGCTGTGCTCCACATTCCGCATGTCTGTCCTTATCTTCCTGTGGCAGAGGAAGTTGCAGAGCTTGTCGCAGCTGTGCTCCACATTCCGCATTGCACACTAGTTATGCCAACCAGTTGTGGGCTCACGGAAGAATAATCTCAGGGGTCCACCTGTATGTGTACGTGTACGTACTCATGTGTGAAGAACAGTTGTTCGTTTAGCTGATAAGATATTGGCTGAAAGTACAGTTGACTGATTTGTTGTAAGAAAAAATATTATTTACTCTCTAAAAAGTATATATTATAAACCAAACAATCTGGTGGAGATCGAGATGAACGAAAAAGCAAGCAGCAGGAGACAGACGGTACACAACTCGCAGGCTGAGACGCTGAGCGTGGCTGACCACCAGCCTCCAAATGAAGCCAAACAGTTTGAGCGTAACACGGTCACCAGACTCAGCCGCCGTCCGTGGCGCCCACCTGTCGAGTCGTCGAGCCTCGACCACGGTCAGCGGAGCACGGACGGCAGGTTTGACACCAAAGATTTAATCATTGTTAGTAACTACTAGTTAAAATTAATTTTAATCCATTTAAATAGCATGACTATAGGTGGTTACTTTTTTAGCCAAGATTTCAACTAGTTAGCCAATTAATTGGCCAATCTCAGCTAATTTGGGTCAAAGTTTAACACCAACTAGTAGGGCTATTTGGATCATGTAATTACAATTGTCACGCTTCTAAGTCATGCCATTACTATTTTTCTATTTAACTTGTCATTCCAATGTTGCCTCTATCTCAATCGTGCCTTTTTCTACATCCCGAACCATATCAGGACGACCTCCAAGTCAATGTATTTCCGTATGGCCTAAAATACGTTTGCCCACTCTAATTAACCAGAGGGCCCATGGGTCATCCACCAGTACTGAGATGATTTCTGGTGGTTCGTAATATATGGGCGCCACTAAAATAAAACTGTGGGTTCAGACCATGAACTGCCAGTATAAATTCATTTTTACTGACTGTTTTAAGTTTACCGCCATTGAAAATATATGATTTCTACTAGCGGTAGCCTTAAGAAAGCAGTTAGTAAAAATGTATTTATAGTGGCGGTTTCCATAACCTAGCGTCACTATAAATAATTTGAAATATACGCTAAATATTAAAAATTAAGTACTAAAATTCAAAATTTTCAAACGACCTCGGATGGAGAAATAACTAAAATAAAAGTTATAGATCTTGTAAAGTTATAGGACTTTGCTGTTTACAACTTTTACATTTGAAATCATTTGATATTTTAAAATATTGTTTGGAATTTAATTTTTAAATGGTTCAAGAACTCTGATCTCTCTTTTTAATCTCTAGCTAAAACTTGTAACTAGTCTTTCTCCCTTATATTAACTTCAAATTACTTGATTTTTTTCTAAAATTTTATAAAATCATGCTCTATCAATTTATTATGTTCTTATATCTAATATTTTGGTCATCTTTTCTTTTTAACATTTTAAAATTTGAGTTTCAAAAATGACAACTTCAAACAGCATTTTAAAACATCAAATGATTTCAGCTGAAGAAGTCATTAACATAAAAATTGTAGAACTCATCAAAATCTACAACTTTTATTTTGATCATTTCTTCATCCGATAAAGTGGTAGTAAACAATGTTCATAAATGACATATCTCTTGTATAGTTTCATAAACTATGCGAGAGATTTATGAATTTATGAACAATGTATACTATCACATTATCGGATGAAGAAATGCTCAAAATAAAAGTTGTAGACCTTGATGAGTTCTACAACTTTGTTGTGGATGACTTTTGCAGCTCAAATCATTTGCTGTTAAAAAAATGAGTTAAATGTACCAGAGATCCATTAACCTGTGACGATGTTTCAGTTAGGTCCATCAACTTTCAAAGTGGTTTTTTGGGTTCATAAACTTTGTATGTCGTATCACTTAGGTCCATATCCCTCCACGTGGGCTTCTCATGCTGATATGGCTGGCTGACCGGTCCTTATCCTCTCCCAAGGTGGAAACGGACGGTTCCAGATGCCAGAGCACGCTCATCTTCGCAGCCTCCCTAAACACCTGCTCTGCGAGGGACACCAGCCTGCTGGGCGGCATGGCGGCCGTGTCGCGCTCTAGGACGCGAAGCTAGACCGCTGCAGCGCGGAGACCAGCGCCTCGTTCGTCTCGGCAACGCGGCGCAGGCACTGCTCCGGGACCTGCAGCGACGAGATGACCTCGAGCGCCTCGTCGCCGACGACGAAGGTTGTTCCTTCCGACAACTTGGCGTTGGCGGACGCCGTGAACACCGCGGCCAGGACATCCACCGCGCCGGGCATGGCGGCGACGAGCTTCCGGTTGCGGTCGCTCTCAGCCGCAACGTCCCTGAGCTCGCGCAGCGCAGCGAGGAGCTGCTGGTGCTGCGTCTGCGGCGTGGAGCGCGCACCAGGACTGGATGAGGCGGCGCAGTGTGTGGTTGGGGGGTCGCAGTCCGCCGGCACGACGGGGCTGCTTGGTGAGCGGGCAGGTGGCGGCGGTGAGGAGCCAGCGCTCGATGTCGTCGCGGTCGTAGGTGATGCCGGTGGGGAGTGTCATGGGGTCCCGCATGATGGACAGCGAGATGGGGCACAGGAAGTAGCAGGGCACCTCCACCTCCACCTATGGCTGCGGCTCCTCCTCCATTGCTATTACTAACAACAGCGACGACGTGATCGAGCTACAAGCAATGGCGTTCACTATCTTCTTCTTCTTCTTCTTCTTCTTCTTCTTGGTGACGACAGAGCAGAGCTAGCTATGGTGTTGGAGAGTAGAGTAGGCAGACCGAAGTTAGCTACAATGGTGTGGCCCTGAGCTACGGCCGATGGACCCACAATGGCCTGGAGATGGCCTCCCGCCGTGGGAGCGGGCAAGCTGCTGCCGCGGCCACACAGGAACGTGTTCGCGGGGGAGTTCCCGGCCGTGGCGGTGTTCTAGTTTTGGCGGCTGGAGTCGCTCGACGTCAGCCACAACTTTTTCAATGGCACGTTCCCCGATGGTGTCGTGGCGCTCGGTGATGCGCTCGTCGTGCTCGATGCCTACAACAACTGCTTCGTCGGCCCGCTGCCGCACGGCCTCGGCGAGCTGCATCGGCTCTAGTGGCTCAACCTCGACGGTAGCTTCTTCAACGAGAACGTCCCAGCCGAGATTGGGCAGCTCCGCTCGCTGCGGTCCTGCACCTCGCCAGGAACACGCTGACCAGGCAGCTCCCTTCGGAGCTCGGCGCCCTCGCGTCGCTAGAGCAGCTGGAGATCGGATACAATGCCTACGACGGCAGCGTTCCCACAAAGCTCGGCAACCTGACGGAGTCGTTCTGGAGCTCGCCGGCCGAATCTGAGGAGAAGGAGGGCGGGGCTGTAGAGTTCACCGGAGAGGGAGGGGCAGTGGGGCTCGCCTTGGCCATGCACACCGTCGGGGCAAGGGAAGCCTCGCAGCGGGGGAGCCGGAGAGGGTGAAGGGCGGCGCGCCTCGAGCTCTCGTCGGAGGAAGCCGCCTAGAGAGCGCAGCCGCCTGGAGATGCGCGCCGCGACCAGCAGCCTAGGGTACTTGCGGGGCCACCGGAGATAGAGCAGAGGCCTAGGGCGTCGGCGGCTGGCTCTCGTCGTCAGGCGGGGGGGATGACAGACAGACCGGGGTGTGTCGGTCCCGAAGGCCAGCCGCCAGCCTTAGCCCTCGCCCGCCCATCCCATCGGCTTTTTTTTTCAATGCTCAGGGTCAAGGGTGGCCTGTTTTCAGCCTAGTCATCATGCCACATCAGCACGAAAAACTAACGTGGAGAGGTATGGGCCTAAGTGATACGATATACAAAGTTTATGGACCCAAAAGGCTACTTTGGAAGTTGATGGACCCAACTAAAACATTCTCACAAGTTAATGGACCTCTGGTGCATTTAACTCTAAAAAAATCTTATTTGAAGTTGTTATTTTTTTTAAATTCAAATTTTGAATTGTTCAAACCAAGTCAGATGAAAAGATGACAAAAATAAAAGTTGTAGATCTCGATGAGTTCTAGAACTTTGTAGTTGATAACTTTTTCATTTAAAATCAATTTGTCATAGAAAACTATGTTTAAATTTCTCAAATTTATTTGAATTTTTCAAACGACTTTGGATTGAGAAACAACCAAAACAAAAGTTGTAGAACTCAAAAAGTTATGCAACTTTGTAGTTGACAACTTTTTCATTTAAATTCATCTTATCAAGAAAAACTATGTTTGAATTTCTCAAATTTAAAATTTGAATTTTTCAAATGACCTCGGATGGAGAAACAATCGAAACAAAAGTTGTAGATCTCGAAAAAGTTATGCAACTTTGTGGTTGATAACTTTTTTATTTGAAATCATTTAGTTAAGGATAATTATGTCTAAATTTCTTACATTTGAAATTCAAATTTTATAAACGACCTCAGAAGGACAAACAAGAAAACAAAAGTTGTAAATCTCGAAAAGTTATACAACTTTGTAGTTGACAAATTTTTTATTTGAATTCGTTTAGGGTATCAGACAATCAATTTAAACTCGGTTGAGCATAATATGAGGAGAAAGAAAATCCATTATAAACACAAGTGAGTGTGAGGTACAGTGGTTAGAGGAGCATCGCATGAGGGTGAGGTCACAGGTTCGAATCCCATCGGGCGTGAAGCATAGCGAAAATGCTACAACTTGTGACTTCGGTGGAGCGGACGGGTGGCACTGCCTCCCCAGATTAAAAAGTTTTCTATTTTTTGAGCCCGATTTGCAATTTTTGAAATCATTTCTAGTGGTGGTAGCCTTAAAAAATAGCTAGTACAAATGTATTTATAGTGGCGGTTTTCTTAAGAAAACACACAGTGTAAATCATTTGTAGTAACGGTTCTCTAGAAGACGCATGTGAAGTTCGCGATTTCCACTAACCGTTGGCACTGGAGGTGGATAAAAACGCCAGTAAAAATAGATTTAGAACAACCAATACTAATGTTCTGTGTACTAGTGATCCCCTGCTCCTTTTCTTATTCCTGCATCCACTAGCGCTACCTGCATGGGCCGTCGCCCACCCCTTTGAAAGTCCTAGTTTGGTTTTGGTAATTGAGTGATAACTTTAGGTGGACTAATGTGTTTCACGTGAGATAAACAGTACTTGGTCCATATGTATACTAGTGTGAACAATACATAGAGCTATAGTATAGAAGTGTCTCATGCATATTGCAAGTGCTCTACTAGTGAAGCTGAAGGAGCTCATTACATATAAGACATTACATGGTGTCATATGGCTAGATGGAGAAGATCAAAAGTCGACCCTTAGCTACAAAGGACTGAGTTACTGGGGTAAAGGGCAAGCTAGAGGCTCAGGGACGATGGACCGTCAAGGTAGTGAAGCTAGAGCAAAGGGCTTGGCACTGATGGACTAGGACAATGGTGAAGAGCAAGCAAGGCTATGATTGATGAACCAATAAGGCCATGTGAAGCTATAAAGTTATCTAAGAGATATCAAGCCAAGTGTTGATTTGCGTTGATAATGAAGTGGCTTGATGGGAGAATGATGGAGGAACTTCATGCTATGGGCAATGATCAAAGGTAGCATGGTTGGCTACACTATATATGGATGATCATTGGTCATCGTTTGATGAAGATGGAGGTTCGATGCTTGTGTGGCACCTCCAACAACAAAGGAGATGAAATAGAATGCATAAGACAAAGGTATATTTGTAGGGCATTTCATTTTATTGTCAAAAGTTGAGTAGAGAAATGCTTCACCAGATTTAGGATAGATAGTCATACTATTAAGAGGGGAAAACTTCTTTGCATAGCGGTTATGTAGTGCCGCTTTACATGTGTGCTAGGATCGAGTGTTGGGTTCAAAACGCGTTTGAAAAACTTTGTGATAATGATTTTTTTTGCGACGCTTTGTGAAAACGAATTTCACGATTTGAAAGTCCTAACATGAACTTAAGGCAGGGGTGAAGCTACAGGGTACGAAGGGTTCAGCAAATACAGTATATGTATATACGTGTATATATAATATTTTGTATTTTGTATAAAAACGTTAAAGGGTAACCGAGAACGGATGATGGTGAGCGGACTTGTAGCCTGCGGCTGCTTTCCACTTTCATCTTTTCCAAGCCCACTGCCCATGCGATGAAGGCTTGGTCTGGCCACTTGAGTACATGACGGGAATCATCTCAGGATTTAGGAGTCTACTAGGTTCGTGCTCGTACGTTGTTACGGGATAGCTAAATATTTGTACTACAAACACACGGATTGCACGATAAGATAATAATACTGTGAAATTAAATACCGACGTTAAAGTGACATTTAATCTAAAAAGCAAAGTTCATGAAATTAACACAATCACGGAGAGCGCGGCGTCGTAGACTCACAAAGTTCGTGGACGCTTCATCCATCTAGGTCATGCCCGTGCGTTGTAACGGAATAAATAATACCATAAGAACCTTAAGTTTGAACATGTGTTGTACTATTACAAAACATGATTCTTTGATCTTGTGATGTTTGTAACATTCGGTTGGCCAACCATCGCTACTACTTAAGTCTCAAATTAACTGAATTCATCAAAACATGCAGTTATACATTGGCATCACACACAGAGAGAAAGGTATGTAAACTTTCCCTCCACATCATGCATAATTGCATATCCCTTGCAATAAGCTTCAGTGCTAGAGGCTACTGAAATCCTACAAACCACACTATATTAACTACTATTGGCAATAGCAAACCCAAGAATCCATAGAGCTCAACAAAGGATCACCACCGAAAATGCACTCATCACACCATTAAGGGGGAGGCACGCTCGGTAGCAGGACGAGATCACCTTGCATGCGTGCTGGTGTCGCTCGTCGTTAGTGTCTCACAAAAGCATTAGTTGCTTGCTCGTGATCCCCATTTCCACAGACCACAGGCACTCAGGCAGTATACATGGTTCTGCTCTTGCTGCATAGATGAACACAACTAAAACACCATAAGAACGACTCTAACAAAACCAAGAGCCATTAGATTCATTTACTGCATGAACAAATTAGCATGTGAAAATTTTAGAAAGAATAAGACGAACAAAGTGGATCTGCATGGTGATGAAAGAAATTTCTCACCTCACATCTGCTACACAACAGGGTGGCGTGCACATATTATTGGCCTTCTTCCACAACAAAAAACAAAACAGGCTAAAGTTTTGTCGAGTTATAACCCTTGCAATCAAAATCATATATATTTTTTTCTTTTGTGCTAATATTCCACAGCTGAATTCTGAAAGGCCTTCTTCACTACCAACGATTACCTGATATGCAGAAAAAGACTTAACAGAAACAATAATGGG